ATTTCCCTGATTATATGTCAACGTCACGGGGAGACTCAGTTCAACTAATGTGCCTTTCCCCTCTGCATCAGCCCTTTCAATCGGCCAGACTGAAGTATAGCCATCGATGTCTGCCGTAACTTCTGCATAGGGATCAATCTGACAGAGATCAAACATAGTGTCAGCATGCTGTTCAAACTTACCAAAGACAATCAAGGAAGATACATCGCTTTCAATTTCAAGAACCTTATTCAAAAATTTTTTGTAAGATAAGACCAATTCTTTTGTAGCCAGTTTCAACTGATAATCATGGGATGTACATCCTAACACTTATTGTACATATTTACGTGGATAAACCGGGAACCGGATTCAAGAATTCGGAAACTAGGTTCCGATTGATTGACGAGAGAAAAACCAACAACTAACAAATGTTTTACAAGCGAATGTATGAAAGATCATATATTTGAACTGCAGAGAAAGATATGAAGACATGACAAAGTGACCAGCTCCCATCACAAAGGGACCAACTCCCAGACGGCTTACAATTGAAGGTTCAGTTGGTGGAGCACTGCTCTGGTATCGCAGAGGTCATGAATTCGAATCCCGTTCAGGCCTGGATTTTTTTCAGGCTTTAATTTCACAATTACTTAAGTCGTGTGCATAACTACGTTGATCAATTATGTCTTCATAAAAAAATGTTTTATTACCTTTTTACCGATCCTTGGAGGACTAAACGAATTCTGGTGAGCAGGAAAGCTCAACGTAACGCCCACAGTGACGTCCAGTTTGAAATCAACACCCTGTCGTACGATATACACACAAGTTGCATACCTCTGAAGAGGGACAAAATAAACAAAGGGCTATGAGTACCGTAAATTCCAATAATACCCACCCCCATCCCCAACCCTAAATTTAGCCTCTTACGCAGGCTCCTTATGGCTCGTTTGGGAATCCGCGAATCTAATTGGTTCTCTGATGGCTACTGATGTTGGAGAGTTTGGTAGACATGAGTATATATAGTCCATATGAATTTACCACTTTAATCATGGTTGATTCCATCTTAGATATGTTACCAGACATTTTCAGCTGACAGAAAGGTCACAGGTTCCAGGAGCCAAAAGCAAAAAGCCTTGCTCGTATACGCTAGGTTTTCCCCCAGCTTTCGCTTTAATTAAGCTGCGCTTTGCATACATGCTTTCATTACTGAAGATAATTTTATTCAAAGAGAAACCTGTATTAAGCGGACATCGTTCTAAGTAAGTCCCAAACTTTTCTTTGCGTATTTTCTTTAAAGCTATACACCTTTATAAAGCAGACCTTAGCGGGGTCCCATGCGTATCCTCTTAATACAGGTTTCACTGCAGTTCGAAGACAGCAACTTACGATAGTCTTAGCCAAATTGAATTCCCTTTTGATGACCCCGCCATTCGTCAGGTCTTTTCCTTGGAAAATGTCGTGGAAGATTTCCTCCCAATCATTAGGACCAATCTTGATATAGAAGCCCACTTCTATCTTCTGAGAGTAGGGTTCCATGCTTACACGACCCTCTCCTGTCACATTTACTCCAATCACCTCCTTCTTGAACAGTTGAAATTTTTCTTCCAGCGATGGTAAGTTGCTTGCTTGGCTCCAGGCGTCTTGTACCTGATCGACATTGAGCGATATCGTTTGCTCGTATGCCGTTTGACTTATTACTATAGGTTCTGCTGCTCTTCGGTTCCGGTGCTTCACAGAAAGGGATGATGAATTTGTCGAATTGTGAAGTTCACCAGAATAAGAGCCATTGTTCGGAGACATCTGACCCGAGTTAGTTGGAGACCAACCGAACTCATTGTCATTATTGTCAACAGCCCTGGAGTTTGGAACGAATAGTCTCACAAATAAATGAAAAGCAATATTTTCCGATTCTGTTTTTCTGAAGTACAACGAGTTGATCTGATCAATGAGCGAAACTTGGCTAAATAAATGTATCTTCAGCATTGCAACGTGGTCACCGTCTTTAGTGTGAATTGGTTCTCCAAAATTCAACTGTTCAGACAAGTATGCGCGGCTTTCTGTTACCATACCGTTGCTCTTGTTAATGAGGGCGAAATCTGAATGCTCGAACTCTACATCAATTTTAGACGACACATCGACACGATCTTTACTATTGAACGATTTCTAAAGATTTTAAGGAAAACGACCAATTTTTTAAGTTTAAAAGACATGTTTCGACAGAACTTCTGTCAT